ATTCCCTCTGCCTTGCTCTACCTCTTCCCTGCTCTGCCCTTTCTCAGTTTCTTCCATAGCCAATGGAGCCACACTCCCACTCCCTGTCAGCGGCTCAGCCTCCCCCTCAGAATCAGATTCCAACAGGGACATGACAGTATTGCTCTGGGTTACCCCCTCACTTCTAGGCTTCACAAGGTGATGTCATATGAATATGTCTTAAATACTCAGTCCTTTAATGTTTATTCTTTTAATACTCAGTTCAAACTAAAGTCTCAAAGTCTTTAAAGCAACATACAACTTTTGCCTTTCTTCAAACACTCTTGTACTAGTTGGGATGAGGTGCTGTTTTAGTGCTGTTGCTGCTTTTCTAATTGCTGCCAAGGTCAAGCAAGGTTCCAAGCTCCTGTCAGGATAGGCTGCTCAGCATCGCTTATGGTCCCAGCAGGGAACTGAAAGTCCTCTTGCCTGCTTGCCTCTTGCCAATCTATAGATATCACTTCCACTTTCTTGTTTCTAGGCTGTATGCTTTTACCTTTCCTGCTACACATACCCCTCTCTCCACTCTGTCTTAGCATTTGCTTGGTAAACAGCTGTTTTTCCAAGCATAGGCAACAATCCCAACCTCCCTCCCTCCCAGTCCTTAGCCTTTGGAGGAAAAGGGGGGAAAATATACTGCAGAATAGGAGATAAATTAATGAATCCGTAAATGGCAAAAAGGATGGAATTGTTCCTTGCAAAATGGGTAGGAAAATAGGTATGGAAGATGGTGACTCACTAGCACAAAGCAAATGTGTTCAAAGTGAACCCAGAGGTTTAATATTTATTCTCAAATAGGACCAAAGGTTATATAGCAGTTTAATGTAGTGGTCAAGGCATCAAGCTAGAAACCAGGAGACCAAGATATGACGCCAACTGGGTAACCTTGGCCCACTCTCTATTTTAGCCTTAAGAAGGCAAAATATGGCAAAATAGTTCTGAAAATCTTGCCAAGAAACTTCAGAGATAGGTCCAGTCAGTTGCCAGCAGTCAGCACTGACTTTTGACCTTGGCCAAATAACTACTCTGCATTAACATTGTAGTTTCCTGGCTAATGTAACAATGCTTATGCAAAACAAATAAGCACTGACTGGAAGACATTAAAAAAAGAACCATGGATCAGGGATGTCTAAATCCCGCCTAAGACATGCCAAAGCCACTGATGATTTTTCAAATGTGCAGCATTAGGAAAAAAATGTTTCACAGTGCATGGGAACATGAACAAAGCATCTCTTATCAGATTGCTAAAACTGCCATGTTTTTTTCAGAAGCGAATGTGCTCTAAAAGATGTTCCCAGATGATTTGTCTTTGTAAAGAGAGAAAAGGGAAGATGCATGGTCCATAGACCAGCCAGCCTTCATCAATACAAAAGAAAGTGATTCTTCTTTCTGGTGAAATGATTCTTTTGGTCAAAAAGGATACTGAAAGTTTTGCTTTGTTTCCCTACCCACTAAGGTAATTGTTAGCGTTTTAAAGAAAAAACAAACAAAGAAGCACAGATAAATCCTTACAGCGCAAGCTGCCAGGAAAGATTACTAAAGCATATAAAAAGATCTTGAGTAAAGTATAAAAATTACCACTAGTTGGAAATATATAGTGTGGCATGCAAAGTTTAAGAAGTTCTACATAGATGAACTAGATGTGTAATAATAAAAGACAAGTGAGAGAGAGAGCTAATTTAATAGTTAAAAATACCGGACTAAAAAATGGAATACAGTGGTTTCTAGTGCTACTTTAGGCAAAAAGTCAAATAGATGACTTTGGGCCAGTCCACTCTCTCAACCTTAGGAAGAAGATGATGGCAAATCACTTCTGAAATGTTTATTTGTTTATTGTTGCCAAGAGAACTGTGTAGACTTACCCAGGCGGTGGCCAAGACTGACTTGAAGGTGAGATGGAAATAGATAGAAATGATATGTGAAGGTTAAAAAGATTGGAAAGAATAATCTGTAAAAATTGGCAGCCATATTCAATTAGCATATGCTTAGGATGGAGTTTTCAACATAGAAACATCTGAGCTTTGATTAAGGAGATCTGATCAAAGTTCTGTGCTTCACCATAAAGGGAAAATGAAAACAAGAGCCTGCAACACTAGTTCCAGTAGTCCTTGTAAAGTTTGCCTGACCTGCTACTTTGAAGGACAGTAACACAATGAGATGTATTAGGGGCAGATATAGTTCTTCACTCAAGAAACGTAAATATAAAAGCATCAGATAAACAATAGCTAGTATGATGTAAAAAAAAGATCCTGGAATTACAGTTGTTTCCAAACTGAATATGTATAAAGTAATGGTTAAAAAGACATGCGATTCTAAGTTGCATGAACAGAAGCATAGTTCCCAAACCACAGGTTGTAAGAGTTCCAATATATTCTGCACTTCTCAGACCTGACCTCGGTTATGATGTCTAGTTTTAGGCTCTGCACTTTAAGGATTCAGCGAAACTTAAACCCAGGTTGAAAGAAATTGGGTCTATCTACCATTGGAAAAAAAAGAAAACTGAAAGGCCATATGTTGACAACGAGTCAAATACATATGTAAATAGACATACTGTTCTGTACCATCTCAGAATACAAGACAGAAAAAATGGATCCTCCTTGCATGATTGCAATTTCTCACAGAACATTTTTTTAAAAACCACCTAATTGTAGGAGCCATTTGACAGGAGGATCCAGTGTACACCGAGATGATTGTCTGCCTTTTATTAGTACATGAGTATATTCATGTAGAAGCTAGGCAACATCTGATCCAGAGAATCAGATGTTTGGATTTGTTTAATTTGAATTTCTGTACTCCGCAGGACAGTTGAGTTTAATAATCTAGTTGAATATTTCTGATTCTGTCTCTCTAGATAATTAGTTCTTCAGTCAAACATTTCATTTAGATGTTTTATTCAAATACATTTCTTAAATGCGACTATTCTGAGTATTCTTGAAATCTAGCCACAGTACAATATTTCTGACTAGCAGATTTCATACTGGAATATTTTATCTGAATCCAAACTTTTACTGCAGAATGACTTAATGGAGTGCATACATTGCCAGTTTTAAATATAATATGAACACCATTTTCCATCCAAACTCAAGCAGAAGCAGAAAATGATGTATATGAGTTGAATATTGCCAAACTTTCTCTCAAATACAGAATGTTAACACAGTTTAAAGAATATATAAACATGGAAGATTAGATTTGACTTATCTGGCATCTTTTTGATAATGCCTTTTTCTTAATAAAAAAACCTATTTTAGTACTCCATTAAAGTTGCTTTTTGCTAACTTGGAAATCAATTTAATAAGCTTAGATTAGAATGCCGATGTGTTTTGGAAAATAGTATCTGATCACTTAGCTGATTCACTTCCCAGATTATTTTCTTAATTCAGCCTTCATTGGCTTGTTGCCCTTTAGCATATAACTTTGGTTTACAGAATTCCCAGAATAATAAGACGACACCAGAATGAGAAAGTTGGCCTTGGTTATTTAAAAATTAATTTGAGTGAGACAATCTCTGTACTACTGAGCTGTTTTAGCTTTAGCTTTATATATCATTTGGGACATCTTAGCCCAAATGATATAGCTTTGGCCCAAATGATATATAATACTTGAACAAGCACATAGGGTAAAAACAAACAAAGTTAATCTTGGGAGAATTGGAACTGATAGCAGAGAGCTCTCTTCAAGAAGAGAGATCTTTCAAAGGGCAAGTGATACATTTATACCAAACTGTGGTGGATCATGATGAGACTCTGAAATATATTTCTTTATGGAAAGGAATGCTGTTTTGCACAGAGGAAACATGTACTTCTACTCTCTTGTTTGTGAGAGGAGAGTTGTGACTATATTTAAATGTGCACATTCATATCTGTTATTCAGCACCTTCCAAAGGCAGTAGTATGAATTCTAGCCTATATATCAAAAATAAACATTTAGGGGATGCAATAGGAGGGTTGATGGGAATTTGCAAGCATTCTGGTGTTTGCATCTGGCCTGTGCATTGGAAATCACATCTGTCTTATGAAGGAAGTACTGTTTGCTGTAGAACAGGCATTAATTTGATTGCATCATTTTTTAAAAAGAATAATCTCAGAGTTATACTAAGGTCAATATGAACAGATATTTTGTTTTTAATGCCAGGAAACACTTTGGAATAGTAAAGATACTTTTCCTGTCCTATCGTCCAGAAAAAAATTAGCAGCATGCTAGGGTATTATAGATAGAAGATTGTAAAATTTATTAAGCATTCTTTCCAAAATCTTAGGATTTAAGCATCTCAGTAGATTGTAGATATTTAAATTATTATTTATTTTAAAAATACGTTCATTTAGTATCAGTCTGCTGAAGGTATACATCTTTGTGCCAACAGATGCCATTTTGCTGATTCCTAATTTGCATAATAGTACTCAAAGGTTTATGAAATATATATATAAGATTGAGATATAAAATAAGTATTTCTGCTTACAAAAAGGATGCCATCCTGTGTTGTGAATTAAACAGCTTTGCATTTGCTGAGAATGTCCATTAATTTTTCTTTTACCTTGCTAAATTATTTCAGTAAATTCTGCAATGACTAGAGTTTGGATTTTCTTTATGTCATTATATGCTGTAGGTGAATAAAATAACAGAATATTATTATTGTTGTGGTTGTTGTTTATTAATTTTAGCCAACAGACTTAAAACAGAAATTCTGAACAGGAATTCTTAGTCTGTTCGCTGAACTGGGAATATATGAGTCTCTATTATATATTTCTAAGTAAGAATTGGGATTAGAATAGAATTAAAGTAGGTTCCCTGTGTAACTGAGTAACTAAAACAGCAAACATCAATATGGTGTTGCTGCTAATAATGTTTAACATTAAAATATATCTATAATATAATAGACATTTAATTTACCATTGAATGAGGTGCATTGATCTTTGGTTACAGTATATTTCCTGCTAGTTTTCTTGCCAAATCCAAATTATAATCCTGTTTACATTTCCCACCAGATGATGAGCCATGCCTGGAATAATTACAAACATTATGCCTGGGGATTAAATGAATTGAAACCCATATCAAAACAAGGACACTCAAGCAATTTATTTGGTAAGTAGTATGTGCTTTCTATTTAATGATGTCAGCTGATTTACTAGTCTGAAGTTAAAGACTACATTAAAAGCAGTGTTTTTATCAAAGTTTTAACTCTCTGGTTGTATCATGTCTACTGTTAAGAAAATTAGCAGCTCTTGCAGCCAGAGTGAGAGGCAATGTTACTTCATATTCCAAAGATGGCAGAAGAAACTAACTTGCTACACCTTTCCCCTTATATATTTTGCTACAAGTTTTTATATATTTCCCTATGCATAAATCAGTAAGATAATGCAAACAAAGGAATTGATAGAAACTGTGAGATCCTGATAAGTTTAGTGGTCAAAAGATTGAACTCTTAACCGCATGCTATCTGTTAAGATAGAGGCACTTAACAAAAGTCTTGAGTGTAAAAAGGAATATATATATATTGCAATGCATGTTTGAGATCAGCTAAATATCAGTCTTAGCGGAGCTCCATCTGAGAGACTTAATCACTTCAGTGGTAGAAGAAATTATATGTTCAAATCAAGCATATTTTAAAAGACCATTTGCCAGAAAATGTTACCAAATACTATTCACTTAAACAAAATCTATGTAGAAGTACACAAAAGGTCAAATGGTGGTGAATGAGGGGCTTTCCTAGTTTCTATTGGCTATCCTGGATTATAGGCTGCAGTAGGTAAACTGGGAAGCTTCTACAATATTGCTTCTTTGCAATCATAAATCCTGGTGCAAACCACAATTTTTCATCAAAGATTTCATTTTCCTTCTGCTTATATGCTCAATTTCATGGGCTAAATGAACAAAATATGGAAGCAGTGCCTTGGGGGCCACTGAGTATCCATCAGAGGAAGCCCATTGACTAAGAGTATTAATAAGAATCTATGAGAGCTCCAAACATGCATTTTTGATTTGGAGTTCTACAGAGACATCTGGGCCACCCTTTGCCGAGTCTGGAAAGGATTTAAATAAGTTTGTGAGGGACCGCACGTTTGACAAAAACATCTGCCATTGCATTTCTAATAGCATCAAAAATACTCTGATGAGACAGAGAGTGCAGAGGAGAAGAGCAAAGCCTCTAGGAGATTTTTTTTACCAAGGAGACGTGCTTAATAGGCGAATCTGAATTAGTTAGATCTCAGTTTCCATAAAGCTCAAATTATGCATAACTGCAAAGACATATCAAGAATCTACATAAATATTAGCAGATTTCCCTTTGGCTAATTTGAAGGCACATGTTAGCACATCTAGCTACTTGAGTCTGGCATTTAAGCAAGAGAGAAGAAATAACATGTGATAACAAAATGCTGATGGCCCAAGGCAAAGATCCACAGACTAAAGAGCAGCAGCGATTGTGCCCAATCATGGAAGAAAAGCAAGAGCAATTAGACCTAACACATTTTGCTGTAGCAGGCCAGTGGTTTGTTTTGTTCCCTGTGTTTTGGTGTTGATAGATTGAGCAAGGATATAGAGTGCAAAGAATGCGAAAGGCAGTTAGAGCAGTCAGGAATTTCTACAGCAAAAATAGAAACAAACACAAATGTTAAAGCCAGAAAAGAGGATTTTGGAGATTTAGGGCAATAAAAGGGAGTAGCAGAAGTTTTCAGAGGAGTTAGTTAACTCTGCAAAGTTCAAAATCCACTGGCAGCATTAGCCCGTTCTCTCAAAAGTGTACACCTGGGCCACAGAAGTTTTCAAGAGAAATTAACACGGAATCAATGTGAGAAAATGAGCCTACCTTTGGAAATACCATGACCTAGATAAGGCACAGAGGTTTTTCAGAGCTGCAGCTTGGTGTTGGAGACCTTGTGTCCTTTCTTGGCTGTAACGGACTGTATCGGTCTGGCAAGTTTCCTGAAGAAAGCCACAAGGAAATCATCAACATACTGAATTAGAGCAGACGATGCAGAACAAGATCTAACCGATTATACAGGTACTCTACATACAAAACAAAGCTGTTTATTAGGATGAATAGAAACAAAAAAGAAAAGTTTACAAAGACTCCATTTCATGAAAATAGAAATAGAATAACAGGGTTGGAAGGAACCTTGGAGGTCTTCTAGTCTTACCCCCTGCTTAGGCAGGAAACCCTACACCACTTCAGACAAATGGTTATCCAATCTCTTCTTCAAAACTTCCAGTGTTGGACCATTCACAACCTCTGGAGGAAAGTTGTTCCACTGATTAATTGTTCTAACGGTCAGAAAATTTCTCTAAGGAGCTGACTGAAAAGTTAGGAGCATATAGAAAAATGCTGACCAGAAGAGGAAAGGTGATGATCATAAGTCTATTTGTCATTCTTAGATGCTACACAAAGTGTCATTTATTATTCTACCACCATTTTTAAATGAGGAAGATTGAAGTGCTGCTTCTAGTGATTACAATTATACCCTGCTTCAATAGTACTTCAGTTACTGGTTTAATTCCTTCCTTAGCTTCTAGGTTTAAGGGATATTGCATTTTCCTTGTTAATGGGTATGTTTTAGTCAATTGAAATTGAAATTTTAACAGACAGAACTGAAAGTATGCATCCCATTTCATTATTAGAATGTTTTGTCCACAAAATATAGCAACTTGCTTCAACTTGTAGTCCTCTAAAACATAAGACTGGCTTACTTCCCAAAGAGGCATTGCAAATAGGACCATTGTTGCTTCTTCATCCTGTGAAAGTATATCTAAATAAATCCCATTTGGTACACAATATGTAACGGCTGTTAATTTGCATAGCCAGACCCAGTTCTGAGGCCATTTGCTACAGAGAAATATTGGGAATTCTGATATCTTGAAAGCAGAACACAGAGCAGGAGTATCTGGAAGGCAAGGAATAGTTTTTCCTCCTATAGTGCAATCAGCAAATGGTTCAGAGACAAAAAGAGATAAAAGAAGGTGAGATGCTATTACTTTCACCTGCACACATCCTTGTGCTATGTTTGGGACAATTTGTCTTCAAAGCCCAGGATCTCTATAGGAGTAATGTGATCCTGAGGGGGTTTGAGCCTGAAAGGATAAGTCGAAGACTTGTTCCAGATTTTGTTGCCTCTTGCTGTATTTAGAGATGTCCTTCCTTTTCCTTGTCTATGAGTTTGGAAAGTGGGGAACCTGCAACCTGACTCACCCCAAGAGCCATAAGCAGTGTCTTCAGCTTTTCCTTTTCTATAACAGTGGTTGTTGTAATAATTTTATTAATATTTTCTCCTTCCAGCCCAGTAAGATAGAAAATGTTCCATAAGCAAGCACCATAAGGCAAGGAGGGTGTTCCATAAGGCAAGCACCACAACAGAAAAGGCCCACTTCCTGGGACTCACCAAGTGAGCCCCCCAGTTTGCAAGTGGCACACAACATGGAGCCATGCAAAGGCCTTCTGAGGCACATCTGCTTTTTAAGCAGGAATCATGAGTCCAGAAGGACTTCCAGATTGCTCACTGGGTCTGTCTGGGACAGTGCAACCCCACCCAGAACCAAAGATGATATAAGCCTAACTGGCAAGTCCCCAAAGTCACCCCTACATGAGTTCACCCAGCAGCCTCATGTAGATGTTGAATAGGAGTGGAGAGAGCAGAACTGCAGAGTTCTCTGCAGTGCCCCCATGTCATATGATCACATTTTAGGTATTTGGCAGCCCACCTTGGCACACCTTGTTAGCAGCAGGAGCAAGAAGATGGCAGTGGTGAACTGGGACAGTAGAGGGCCAAAAGGGCATAGATATGGGAGAGATAGGTGAGTGGGGGAAGTTGATGTGTCCCTGCAGTTGTAAGTGCAGGTGGGTTGCCAAAAACCCAAATTGTGACCACAGGGGCACTGCAGCAGCTGTAACTTTCAAGATGAGTCATAAGTCTTTTTTTTTCTTTCAGTACCGTAGTAACTTCAAATGGTAATTGAATGAATGGTTTGTAAGTCAAGGACTACCTATATTTTAATTCTGGAATTGGGAATATTTCTCTTCACCATGCTATGTCCCCCATCCCTCTTAAACAGTATTTTGGTATAGATTTTATGTATTTCTTGTGCATTTAGTCTGTGATGATTATTGCACATCTGAAAATATTTCTGTGTGTGATATAATTCTAACAATTGATTTCATTGGCTCATGTACAAAGACCATCAACAAAAGGTTTTTTTATTGTGGTATAGTTCATTCCTAATGCATATAATTACTGTGTCCCATAGATGACATTATGAGTCAGTATTATATGAGAATCAGGCTGTTTAATTCTTATTATCTGATTACAAATATCTTCATACTTTATATTAATTTATAATATTTTTGTATACTATTTCTAATATATATAATACTTCTAAAATTGGAATTCATAAATATATGCTTTATACTTTCCTAGTGAATGATGGCTTCAGGTAACAATACTTTTTAATTTGAGGTAAAATTTTAAAATAAAAGAATATTATGGACAGCAACATAATAGGATGCTTATATTGTATATTTTAAAGAGTATGGTCATTTATCTTTATTTCTTAATGGCATCCTAACTTTCATGTCACTTTATTTGTTTCTTCATCCAGTTTTTTTTTAAAAAGGAACGTGTGTTGTCCGTTTTTGGAAATAGCTACTTTTCATCAAGGGGAAATTAAAGTTTGCTTTTTCAATCTAACATACTGCAGGAAATTTGTGAAGAACATAAATATCAAGAAAACATTTACACTTGACTCACAGGTTAGGGAAAAGTATAATAATAAAATAGTAATAACAATGATAAATCTGAATTGTCTGCTGTCAAAATTAGGAGCTCTGGTTTTCTACTATGGTATTGATGCTGTGTTTGCCATACTGTAAATTTCCCCACTTTTATCTCACTTCATTAGTTTTGAGTGTAGAAGGAAACTGGAGGAAACTGTGGTAATTGTATTATCTTCTAAAGTATACCTTTGCCTACCTGCTCTTTTTAGCAGAAGCCTGTATTTCAGCCAACTAATTCCAGATTTCATTTCACTTCCATAATTTTCTAGGATCATTTTTAATTGTTTGGGTCTTCAATCTGTCAGACCTCTTTCCTATCTAA